CATCGCCATCGAAAATCTCCAGGAGCCAGCCGTGCATCTCGTGGCCCTTGAGCCACTTGCCTTCCGCCGATTCCCGGCCCCATTCGGTCCTGCAAAGGGTGCAGGCATAACGGTTCTTGGAACGCTTGCTCGACCCAACCCTGGTGTAGTCGAAGCCTGACAGGGCCGGGAGGACCATGCCACATTCCATGTGGATCCAATGCCTCCGGTTGGGCTTCTCGGGGCCTTAACCCACGCCCCTCCAGTGCAGCGGTAGTACTGGAAGGCCACTGCCCACTTGTGCTTGCCCGAGAAGAAGGCCTTGAGGTCAAGCGAGAGGGACTCGATGGGCAGCGTGACTCTGTGGTCGTACTCCGCCCGCAGCCGAAGCCTTTCTTTGGAGTCAACGACCGGGGCATCCGGGAGATCCTCGAGCCAGCTGGGGTTGCGCAGGAAGTTCATGCAGTGGACCTCGAAGCTCATGCGGCGGAGGATGATCGCGTAATCCTCCGGGCACTTCGGCTCTCCGAACCCCCTTGCCTCCATCCACGACTTAGCCTTCAGGCGCAGGTCAAGGAAGTCCTTGCGGCGGGCCGCCCGGTAATCTCCACGCTTGCGGAGGTTGGAGCGCACCAGGGGAAAACCCTTCTGAAACTTCTTCTGGCCCTCGTTCTTGGTTGGTCCCACCATGTTCCAGATGTCCTTGGCCGAGAGCACACTGCCATAGCAATTCAGCAACTCTCTGAGGGTCACTGTCTGGAGGTTGAGCCGCCAATGGTGGGGCTCCCTGTCCACCTCCCCTTCCTCCACCAGCTTGGAGAGAGCCACCATAGGGTTGAGGAGGTTCCCCACCATCTCCGGGATCTGAAGGCTGTATTGCGCCAATCCGTGCTTGGCGAAGATGGCGTTCACTGAGTGCATGGCCGATGTGAAGGCTTCGTGGCCGAGGTCCGTCCAGCCAGCGTACCATTCATCAGCCTCCACCTGGGTGACCGAACCCGGCTGCCTCACCCACCTCCACCCCGTGAGGTAGGTCTGTTTCTTACACATCTGCAACATGGCGTTCAGGGTCCGGACCTGGTCTTCCAGAGTCTCAGGGGCCTTGGTCCCTTTCAGCTCCGGGAACGGCTTGTCGAAGAGGGCCGGGTTGAAGAAGGAAGCCGCACGCTGAATGTCAGCCTGGTGCTTGAGGTCACCGCCTACAATGTCCTCGGGGACATTCGGTATCGACTGTATGATCTTGTGGACCTCCACCACCTCGGACTGGATCCGGCCGAGAACGTCTGGGCCCCTTTCCTGGAAACTTGAGAGTTCCCCCGTGACCCCTTCCGAGTGGCGCTCCACCAGCTCGACCAGCTCCCTGCTCCAAAGGCTGGGCTGCTGGACAACCGGAGTGTAGACAAAATGGTCCTGAAGCTGCTCCGCGTTGCGCTTCTTGTTCTCCTCCCGCTTGGCTTTCTCTTCTTTGTCAAAGGTCATCTCTCGGGGCGCCAATGTCCTACGCATCGCAGCAAGAAGGCCCTGGCCCTGGTTGGTCCCTCTGAGGTTGGCCTCCAACGTGGCGGTAGAGACCTGAGCCATATTGGCGACCGCCCTTTTGCCCGGGAGGAGTGCCGTCTTAGCGACCTCTTCCGCCGCGTCCACTGTGCCCTCCTCCATAGCCGCCTGCTCCAACTGCTTGAGGTTTTCCATTGCGATGTCCCGGTCAGTGGGCGGCCGCTCCGGGTCCACCCATCGGCACCTGAGGCAACCGGGGTGTCCCCCTCTGCCTTCGCCGGGACCGGTTCGATCGAGGTAGGAGATCACAAAGATGCCCCCCGCCGTCGCCTCCACCTTGGTAACATCAGAGAGGGAGAGGACTCGGCCAGCTGCATCCAACAGGACGGGACCCGCTGGGCTGCCCTGTTGCCCAAAATCCAGGAGGTTCCCACTCAGCCTGAAGGAGGCCCAGTGGGGAGGAGCAGTCCAGATGATCGAAAATGCTCTTGGCGACCTCCGCCCCCGGGACCACGTCCAGGAGCGTGGTGTTCTTCTGGTCCGGGGTCTCCATCAGCGTCCGGATTGCAGATCGCCATGCCGAGCTTGGTCAGGACAGTCCTGACCGTGGGCACATCCGCATACTCCTTCAAGACGTGGGCCATCTCACCCTTCTGGACCACAAGGAGGAGAGGGAGTGCATCCCTCTCGCAACAGGTGAAGAAATCCGCTCCTTGGTTCCTGAAAGCCGTCGCAGCCGCCTCGTGGGAGGAGGCCCAGGCGACCAGCTTCGAGTGGCACTGGAGCACTGCCAGGGCAGCCCCCGCAGCCGCCCGGAGGACCTTGCCTCTGTGTGTCTTGTTCTCCAGGTTCACAGCCTCGGCAAAGGTAGCCGCCCCCTCGGCCTGTTGGGCCGCATCCTCAAGGGTGATGCGGGCGTTGGCCATGTCCGGGCTAAAGACCACGCCGACTTCATGAGGCTTCTGCTCCGGGCCATCCTGAGAATCAAACCGTGGGCAGTCTAAGTCCGAGGCAAAAAGGAGTCCACGGGAGGCCTGATCCTCCATCTTCTGAGCCAGGTCCTCCGAAGAGTAGGCCACCTCCCCCCGGCCAACGGCACCTGAGGCAACCGGACCGGGTGAGGAGGCCTCCCCCATCGGACCGGCAGCGTTGATGGCAGCGGAGAGAGCAGGGCCCGGCAACTTCCTTTCATATTCCGTCTGGGGCCTGCCGAACTTGTACTTGAAGTCCTTTCTGAAGCTGTTCGAGGTGTTCTGCCACGCACCCTCCACCAAGCGCCAGGAGGATCCATCCGGGGCCGGGGCCTCGATAGAAGCATTGGCTTCCCTGACAGGCAGAACCATCTTGTTGCAAAGAAAGCACCGAACCCTGAGGGCAGCAGCAAACCTACCCCCGCAGCCAGGGTCCGAGCAGATGTAAGGCAAGGGCGCGGTCGAGGGCCTGGGCACCGTATAGCTGTGCCAAACCCTTGGCCCTGCTTCTTGAGGATTTCCTCTTGGCGGAGCGTAGCCACTCTGCTGCGGAGGTGGCCCCCGATGTTCAGGATCGCATCCTCGAAGAGCCCCGAGTCCTCGGACTCCACAGCGGCCACCATCTTCTCCACCACCAACTTCGGGAGGGAACGGAGGATGGTCGCGACGTCACTGCGGAAGAAGCGGTCGGGCATCACGTCCGGGGAGACCAGCCTGTATACCGCCTTGCTGGCGTCCACGCACTGGACCACCGCTCTGTCAGGGCCCAGCAGCTCGTCTTTCGTCAGGGACGGCAGGGAGAGGATGATCGTGCCGACATTCTTAAAAGGGAGCTTGTGCTTCATGTGCATCAAGCCGCTCACGAACTGACTCGGGTCCTGGTGGAACTCCTTAGAAGTGGCGTCCACATGAGAGAGGATCTTCACACGGTCCTCCCGTCTAAGGCAGTTCCATCTGGCCAAGACTGTGCTTGAAAGCTTTTGGCCTTTCACCATGCCCACCTCTTCCGGGACGGTGCAGTACCATCTGCACACTGCCTCCCACCATGGGTGGGACTTGCTAAACAAGTCCATGACCGAGACAAACGGGAGCTCCTTCTGCAACATCACGACCCGATCTTCGATCTGCGGCAGGACCGTCTGAGGGTCTTTTGCCGCGTCAAGCTGCTCTTGCACCCAAGCCTGGAGAAGCTCGACGTCTTCATGTTCCACCCAGGCGTAGTCTCCCGAGGTGCTAGGCACCGTGATCGAAGGCGCCTTGTCGGCCAGGACCCAGGAGCCACTGGCCGAGTCGATAAAGCCCGGCTCTGAGAGAGCCACCTCAGGTTCTGCCGATGGCACCCCCTGAGAGGGAGGATCGGCACCTGAGGCAACCGCGCTCCCATCCCCAGGGGTGGGGTCCACCATGGCAAAGTCGCCATCAGCCGCCGAATCCGCCGGCTCCACCATCTCGACGTCCAAAGCTTCAGGTGACACCCCCTGGGAGGGACGATCGGCACCTGAGGCAACCGCGTCCACTGCCACAGGAGGCTTGCCCGCAGCAGAGGAGTCGCGGCTGGAGGTCAGCAAGCGGTTCCGTTTTGTCTCATCGTACATATCCAGGAAAAGCCGCTGGAGAATGGGGTGTCCCTTGAGGAGACCCACTGTGTCACAGGCTCGAAGCGTTTCTATGACACCGGCTCGCTTCACCGCGTCTTCCGTCTGCTTGGTTACCTGAGCGAGCAAAGCTATCACCTCTTCGAGCACCACACCATCTGCAGCACCTGCAGGGGCTGCTCTGGAAGGGATGGGGGCAGATGCTGCCTCAACACCATCCTGCTGAACCACAGGATCAGAGAACTCGTCAAGCTCGAAGAGACTCTGTTGTGCACGTTGCGCTGCCAGACTCTGTCGGATCTGGACAGGCACATCATCATGTGCGGCACGCGAGGGGTTCGACATGACCAGCAACAGAAAACAAACAACAAGAAAAAGAACAACCCGGGAAACAGACCCCGCGACACCGAGACCCGTCGTGAGTCTGACCCAAAATGGCAGCCGGCCCGAGCAGGATGCAGAAGGGAGGCTGCTGGCTTGGCCCTATGACATGCGAGTTGATCAGTGCAAGCACGGATTCCTCTACAATTATGGGGAATGCAGGATTTCTATCATCAACCGTTTGGATCTACGGTGGCTTTAGGGCTTAGGGTTTAGAGGCTTAGGTCTCTTGCAACGAACCCCGAAGCACCAGCCAACGCCGCCGCTCTGAAGTGCAAGGAAGCCGTCGCCTTTAGTTTTAGGGCCTAGGGTCAGGGTTCAGGGGCAGTCCCAGAATCCCCAGACCCTTAACAACAGAACTCTGACGCCCTCAAGAACCTAAACTCCCTAAAACCCCCACGGCCCCGAAATCCACCCCAAACCCTCAAGAAAGGCCCTAAAGGCTTCATAAGCAAGGTTCATTTGCAAACCGAACTTACAGCCAAAGTCACTGTTGAAACCCAAACTCTAGCCCTAAACCCTAAACCCTAAACCAATTACTTACTCCCCACGTTCCTTTCAGCACTCAGCCCCGCGCTTGGTCTTGCAAGCTCCAACTGAGACAGGGTGCTGTTCCAGATACACTATAATACTAGAATACTGTACAAGTATTTTGAAATTATACTATAATGCGATAATGCGATACTGTGATAATGCTGTCCAATACAATGATACCTCATAATGCCGTAATATAAAAAACTAAAGCACTATAATACTATGATACATTCATACACTAGGCTACAGTATCATGCACTTTTGTACCACAACACTATCATACTATGGGGCATACTTCACAAAATTCAGGCTCCTGCGGTTCCTATGCTCGGGTGGCGTCTGTGGCGTTATCCGGTGCGATCGGGGCTTAGAAGGGGGACATCGGGTTTCACTAGGTTCAGGAAGGGTTTAGGATTTCGGGGGGTTCATAAAGGTTTAATGGGGCTTCTTCACAACGCTTTCCTTTGTCTAGGTGTCCTTTGAATGTCTAGGTGTCCTTAGAAAAAGATCTGACAGGTCTCTTTGTTCGGGTCCTGTATGCTTTGGAGATCCCAATGCCTGAGATTCAGCGGTTCCTGGCAATGGGGCTCCAGTGTGTAGGTGAACGCATGTGCACACTGCATGTTAGGATCAAAACCTGATGTTGCGTGCCCTAAACCCTAAACCCATTGCAGCCTCAAACACTACTTTGTCGTTCTTTCGGATCTTCATGGGTCTGGATTGGGGGTGCTCTGGGGTTTGCAGGGCTTGGGGGCTGAAAGCCCCTAAGTGAAACCTGCAAACCCTGAACCTGCAAACCTCTAAGCCGGTAACCCTTGGGTGTTACTAGGTATGCTTTCTAATTTTCTGAGGGTGCCTTGGGTTCTTTGAGAGTCTACAAGGTCAGGGATTGGTCCGTAGGTTGTTAATGCGCTTTGTTGTTCGATTCCTTTTGGGATCATGTTGAAGGTTCCTGTACGGTGACATGCTTTGTTGGTGTTTAGGATTTGGGGTTCAGGGCTCGATGTCGGGTCTAGGATTCAAAGCTCACGGGTTTCGGTGAGGGTAAACCCGAAATACTAGCAACACCCAGACAAACCCCAAACCAGAAAACCCACTCCTTCAAGGAAAGCATTGACATCAACCTTAAAACCCCATGGAAACCAGCAACAAAACCATAAATACCCGCTCAAGGCAAAAATGGCCCTAAACCTTCCAGCTTATACCCCAAACATAAAACACTAAACCCTCAAACCTTAAACGCTTGGAAAAGATGTATTCAAAACAACACAAACCCTGAAAAATTTGAAGACAACTGCGCCTCGAGTCAAGCTCGGTCTTCTTCTGCTCGCCGTTGGGGCAAACCACAGAGACTTGGTGCCGTGCTGCCTGGGTTTACGGTTTGGGGTTTGGGGTTAAGGATCCCATACAAGGCACTTCGAGATTCTATGGCTTTGCAAACTTTAGGACATTGGGGCGTACAAGCTCATGTTTCAGGGTCTCGGGTCTAGGGGTTGGAGTGCGTCTTGAAAGCTGCAAGGGGGATTGGGCTCAGAACAGGGCCGAGAAAATCCCCTCGCCCTCACCGGCCTTGACAGCTGCCCGTCCGCTTTGAGATGGCCTCGGTGAGTACCACTTCCACCACCGTCACCACCACCACACACAACAGAAGGCATAATGCCATAATGGTTATAATAAAAGCAATCAGAACAATAGTGATTCACCGTTCATGCTTGGCAGGGCAGAGCTTTGACTGTCTGCTTGGCATTCCTCTGATCTCTCGAGGGAGCCCACCTCCTAAGCTACTGCGAGAGACAGAGCAAGCCAGCAAGTTTTATGTTTGGGGTTGAAGGGAGTAAGCCTCAGGCGCGGATGTTGCCGCCATCGCTCGGCGCACGTGCTTGGCACGGCGAGCTCATGGGAGCAGCACGTCTCAAATACAGGGCCTACCTGTGGGACTATTTAAACCTAGGGTTCAGGGTCTAGGGCTTAGGGTTGAAACTGGCATGCTGTGCAAAGCCACGGTGCTTTAGTCCTTATGCTATTTTAATTCCAAGCTTGGCTGTGTAAGAGGGTCCTGCAGACTGCAACTGAGTTTGTGTGGATCTTCGCCGGGGCTTGCCCTGCCTACTGAAAAGCTTCAACATCCGGCACGGATCTCAAATCTGAACCCTCAACCCTAAGCCCTCTGACATGCTTCCCACGGCTCTTGACTTGCAGGGGCACTTCTGTCATCCTCCCCATACTCAACGACCTCACCAACATCATCGCGAGCATCATCGCCGACTCCATCATGATTAGCCGTCTCGGAGCCGACGTGCAGAACCTAGCCTTCGGCATCGTCATGGTAAGCATGCTCACCGTCAGATTCCAAGACGCTTTAACAAGTATTAACAACTATATCCGTTTTCATACCAGTAGCATAATCAACCTCAAATAACATCAACATCATATCTTCATCGTCGCCACTCTCAGCGTCGGCACGTTTGTCAGCATAGTCATCACCGGTAGGAATGACTGTGATCCATCACCCAGGACCGGCATGCTCATCATCCTCGCTCGGATCACATGTAGTAGCATAATCACCAGCATCAGCATCATCGGACTCCTGTGCATTCTCATGCTTCAAATCATCGAAACACTGTCTGCAGCCTTATGATCCTACCTCCCCCGCCTCATCGCCATTACCGCATCATGATCATCAACATCATCATCCTCGTCGTCGTTTCGCCATCATCAACATCGTTGTCGTCGACAGCAGCTATTCATCCCTGTCCATCTCAACATCTCTGCGACAAGGGCCTCCTCGGTCACCGTCATGCTTGTCATCGTGATCGTCGTCATCAGCACCACCACCATCTTACTCATCGTCGACCCCGACGCCACACGACATCATCACCAGCCATGACTTCAAAAAAAACTCACACCTGAACCCTGAACCGAAATCCCTTGTCCACCAACGCCGTTTCGAGCTGCAGGAATCCACACGTCAGCTACCGAAAGGCACAGGTTTCCAGCTGCCGCCTGCAAGCATCCCCCCCTAAAACTCTCCAAGGACAGCTTCAGGTCGAGATAAAAAATTATTAAGCTTTAGGTTTTGTACGGTTTAGGACCTGGGAGCTTAGAGGTCTGCCTACGAGGTAGGTTCTTATTCTCTCGCGGCCTAAATCCTTGGTCGAACTGAACTTAAAGCCCCACAAAACCAGACCCGTTTGCCCACCCCTCAACCCTAAACCACTCCTAGTCATGCTGACCCGCAGCGCCGGCTTCGCCGATGTGGAACGCGGCTAGACCTCCTGTGTCACTCAAGTGTGGCTACAGGTCAAAGGTTTAGGGGCATTGGACACACGGGTCGGGTTTAGGGATTTTAGGGCTTTGGTTTACTCTTTGAACATTAAGCCTTCAGGCCCTACATGGAGAGAGCAACTCGGGGTGCAAGCCTGCGTGAGGTGTAGGGCAAAGCGCCTGCAGGGTTTAGGCTTTAGGGTGCAGGGTTGAGGGTTTAAGGTTTCGAGTTTGTTGCTTCGGGTCTCTTGGGAGACTCCCGGATAGCGATTGCGTAGCAATGTACGAGTCCCCGCCAGCTGGAATTCAGGGCAGCAAACTACAGGCCGCAAGCTCAGAACACGTGAAAACACTGCCAGCGACATGGCTCTGGCTGCCCATCGTGCAGGTTGGTCTCTTTGTCAGTCTCTCCCTCGCTCCATATTAGTCTATTCTCTTTCCCTCTGTTTTTTTCTCTCTGTCTTTCTTTCGCCAGGGTTATGGTGCAGAGGATTCCCTCCTCTCTCTCTCTCTCTCTCTCTCTCTCTCTCTCTCTCTCTCTCTCTCTCTTGCTTGCACTCAGCCTCTCTCTCTCTCTCTCTCTCTGTGTCGGCGGAATGAAGCCTGCCTTCGATCTGCGAGTCTAACCCTGAAAAGATCCTACTGTAGGGGACTTCCCCAAGGAATAATATTGATTACTTAAAGGATCATGGGACTTAGTAACTAGGGTTATACTTAAGGTAACTATACTTATAGTTAGATATAACCCCACTTAGGGTACTTATAACAATACTTACTAAGTCCCATGATCCTCCAAGTATTGTTTAAGCTTTGACTTAACCGCGGGGGCTTCGCAGACCCAAGGCCTCTTCCATCCCCGACGAGACGACTTCAGCTCTCGCCCAAGATGCCTCGGCAGGGTTTAGCGTTTGGGATTTGAGGCTTAGCATTGAGGGTTTCGGGCTTCGGGTTCGGATTTAGACTTTAGGGCCCAAACAAGAAGGCTCTCGGGCCCTGCATTGAGGGCTTCGGGAAGTTTGGGGTAGGGTTTAGGGTTCAGGGCTTTAGGTATCATGGCTTAGGGCTCGCGGGTTTATGGGCTTGGGTTGTTCATGGGTTTAGGGTTGAGGGCTTTAGGTGTCATTGCTTAGGCTTCGCTAGTTTATGGCTTTTTTTGAAAGCTCTTTTCCGTCTGCATGCAGATACGGCCTACGGAAGCCTCTGGTTTAGGGGTTTAGGGTTGAGGGCTCAGGATTCGCTGGCTTATGGGTCTAGGGTCCGGGGCTTTAGGTGTCATTGCTTGGGGTGCGGCTTTATGGGTCTCAGGTTGAATGCTTTAGGGCTTTGGGGTTTCGAGCTTTGGAACTTTGGGGCTTTGGCTTCGGGCCGGGGGTTTTAAGCCTAGGGTTTAGGGACAGGCAGCCGAATCATCAAAGGCTGAAGGAACGTGCTGAAGGTTCCGCTTCATGCTGATTTTCTGAAAGGGTTCAGGGGTTTATTGTGTAGGGGCTCAGGGTTTAGGGTTTAGGTGCACCACATATTCGCAAGTGGTCATGGCGTTACACGCTCTCTTGTTGCCGATTTCCCCCGGACTGGTCGCCGCAAATCGATTATCCGGAATCTCGGATGATGTAATTTATGTCTGCCTGGTCTCAAACAATGAGCTCCTCTACGCCTGCCCCTTAAGGAGGCTCGCAGCAACTTAGCGCTTGAACAAACAGCCCCGAAGCCAGTCTCAACCCAAACCTCAACCTTTAAAAGCCTTACGAAAGCCCTGAAACCCTCAATGCACCCAAAACCCTCCATGCCTCCCAAAAAAAACCTCCAAAACCCCCACAAGCAAAAACCAAAAGGCTGGAAGCCCTGCAAAACAATACCAAAATCCCAACGGACTCCCTTAAGGGCGCTAAAGCAACCAAACAGGGACTTTGACAACAACCTTATTTCACAAGAATAGGAACTGCTAGTAGCAATACTCATAAAGTCTACTCATCATCATAACCATAATATACTCATAAACTATACTCATAATTATAACTATAATATTAATATTTCAATAAAAAAAGCCTCGCCCCCAACTTCTTCCAAGGGGCTCTTGCAGGCTTTCAAGCAGCTTTGGCCTGGCAAAAGGCTCGTAAAACGATCTCAAGAACTCAGGGCTTTGGTCAGGAAATTAGGGCTTAGGGTTTAGGGTTTAGGGTTGAGGGTTTAGGGTTCTAGTCTAGGGTGTGGGGTTAAGGCCGTAGGGGTAGGTATTGAAGGTATGCGGTTTAGGCTATCAAGACGACCTCAAATGAGAAGCAACGCATAGTCGAATTGCACAGTACAGGGCCTTGGGTTTAGGTTCAGGCTGAGGGTCATGGTTTGAGGGTTGTAGGCTTAGGCTTTAGGGCATAACACCCTCCTTCGAGCCACAGTAGTATGGGAAGCCTTACTAATTACAATGCGGTTTGGGGGCCTATTATACGGTGATGAGAACAAGGAGCCCTCAGGCCTTAATAATTACAATGGCGTTCTATACTATGATTATGATAAGGGAGTTTCCGAAAATTAGGGGTACCTTAGTTTGGGGTCCATATAATAAGGATCCTACTATTTAGGGTGCTATATTGGGGTCCCTCATTTTCGGAAACCCCCATAAGGAGCCCCAAGGTCTATGCTTCTACAGTACCGGAGACGTGAGAGTCTGATCTGGATGCTCGGGCGAGAGCTGGCTGCAGGTTCCTTGCTCTTTGGGGCTTCGCGTTTAGGGTTCTTTCCTTGGTGCTGTAGGGCGCCTTCAACCTCAACGCGGAACCGTGATGCGGTTTTTCAATCTTTGCTGGCTCGGGATCCCAGGTTTGTCGGATTCCAAGGTCCACAAATAAGCTCCTTCGGCATAGACAATGTCTCAGATCCTTGCATCTGCGTCCATATAGTCTCGAAGTCACTACGAAACAGAGGGGTTTACGAGTTTGGGCTTCAGCGTCTGCGGCCCCTGACTAAGCCTAAGCCCAAAGGGTGGTCCTCTAAGACAACCCTAAACCTTCAGCTCGAAATCATGGGCAGTGGCACCTGCGAACTGGACGATACGATTTTCGATCCAAGCCTCAGCTGAGGAAATAAAGCTGGCATTAACGAAGGCGTGGTGACAAAAAATCGGGAAGCAGGAAGCAAACAAGGACAAATTCTTGCAATGAGAAACATGATGTGCGGGAGATGTCATTCACTCTTTCGGGCCCTCTGGTGCCTGCTTCAGGGCTGCAAGGTCTGGAGCTCTACACTTCCAAGGTTTTGGGTTTCAGGGTTAGAGCTCTGGGTTGGGATTGGTTAGGTCGCCGTTAGGTGTTCTACTCCTTCACGATGTTGCACAGTCTTCTACTTGCTTGGATTTCTGCCCGAGTTCTTGCGAGGATGATACCCTTGTCGCAGTGTTGCTTGAAGGCTGCAATTAACGTAAACATCTGATAAACAAAACCCCCCTCCCTTAACAAGAGGTGCAATCGGTCCTAACATTAAGGATATTAAGGCCCTTGAAGACAGGGATCTTCGTTAAAACATTCGAGGGCGGCCGCGGGGGTGAAGCTCAAAGATTGGGTTTGGGGTTTAGGGCTTAGCACGAGTTAATCTCTCAGGCATTTG